CATGACCGTGGCTGGTCCTGGGATGGCGGGTTGCTAGAGGTATCCATAGGTATCCAATTCCCTATAAAATGGGGAGCCAAGGAGCCACAAAGAGTTTCCCAACCATCTGATAGTGAAGCTGGGAGATGTGTGAGATTGAGAGTGGTTGAGTGAAGCTGCTTGAGGATGAGGATATTTGGACTGCAAGATTGGTCGAGGGATGTCGAGGGTAGAGTTTTTGGGCTGTTTTGCGGTCCATGCTCCCACTTTTTGCATCTTTCACATGGTTTGAAGTGACATAAGCACATGGGTCCATGGGTTTTTAGTATCTTTTGACCACATAATATACGTACGCATAAATACGTACAGTATATATATATATATATACACATTAATGTATACGTGTATATTAATATATTATATATGATGTATATTATATACCCTCTGGTAATTTAACATAACTATTGAAAATGGCCATTTATAGTGGATTTTCATTGGATTTCCCCATTAAAAATGGTGATTTTAACATAGTTATGTTAGTTTACCAGAGGGTAGTCCTCAACATCCTCAACATCCAGGTGGAGCCCCCGGGCTTGGAACCCGAGCTGTCGGACACCTCGCTGTGGCGCCACCTGCTGCGGGGAACGCACGGCTTCTCGCTGCAGGGCCCGGGCGCTTCCCCGGTGAGTCTCTTCCCCGAAGCGCCTGAGGTGGCGAGGACGGGGACGGAGGAACGGATGAAAATTGCATGGATGTATATATAATATAATATTATCTATATATACATAATATATACATGTATACATAATGTATATATATATATATATGTATGTATATATATATATATGGATATATATAATATAATATAATATAGTATAATATAATATAATATAATATAATATGATATTAGATATAATCGGGGATTTAATGCCATTTATCTGGTTGAATGATGCGACCTCACTGCGTTTTGCGACACTGGAATGCTGGTTGGGATTTGGGGAGTTATCCCTGCATGGCCGCAAGTTTCAGCTATAACTCAGCCAGATATATCGTGGGGATGACCTGGGGGTCACGGCCTCTTTATGTGGTGGGGTTGTGAATGTGAAATTGACATGACCCCAGCTGGTAATGATAATGATAACTGATAAGGGTTACAACTGATTATAACATATACAGTATAATGCGGGTAATTCAGAATTCACCTCTTTTAATGCAATATCATGATTTATAATTTTGGACATTGTTGATTGGACGCTGATTGGTGTGTGGGAATCCTCCCCATCCCCAGGGGGCGCTCTAAGTCTATTGATGACCATGTTTGTTGGGACATGTTGGGACCAAGTTTGGGGTCATGAATCTAAGGAAGGATTTTAGTTCAGTTGAGCAGTGTTCAAAACCCCTGTTGGTTGATGATTATAGGACGTTATATTACCTGATATAAAGATGAATATAATCATCCTGTCTTTCTGTATGTCCTTTGTTTTTTGTTTGTCCTTTCTTACTTTTGTCTTTCCTGTTCCTTTCTTTTTGTGTGTTTGTTGTGACGGGGAACCTTTACATTCAAAGCATACAAGATGAATGGTGCCAAGTAAGATACAACACCCGTAATCTGTAGTCAAGGATTCGTACTGTATATACATTTGGGGGTTTAGAAAGCACCTCACAAGAAGGTCTTCGGCAGAATAGAGCATCACCCAAACAAACCATCGGTCAGTATTTGGGTGGCTCATTGGGTATCAGAAAGAAATTTTGTTTGGCAGGCTTTGTTTTTTTTTATGTTTGCTGATGTAATGAAATTGATTCTTTGGAGATCCTTGGCATTTTTAAAACCATGGTGCTTGTAAGCTACAAAAGGCACCAGTACTGGAGCGGTACCTTTTAGGAAGCACATCAAAAGCACATCTATCTAAGAGAAAACAATAGCACAACAGAGCACCACTACACATCAGAGTACAATATTAATACCACATTTTGGTATAAACAAGGGCCAATATATAGATTATTTATACATATACGGCTTGTACTACATATAGATATGACTTGTATTATATATATAT